ATCAAGTGAATAAATCATCTGATGAAAAGAATGAACTGGTGATTATAATAGAATCAGGGACATAGAAAGGGAATGGACTATTCTTGGGGGGGAAAAGGGTGTGGGAGATGTGGGAAGAGACTGGACAAAAAGCGTGCACCTATGGATGAGGATAGTGGGTGGAGCGTGAGGGAGGAGGGTGGGGTGGGAACTGGGTTGAGGGGGAGCTATAGGGGAAAAAAGAGGAACAACTGTAATAATCTGAACAATAAAGATTTATTTTAAAAATAAATAAATTAAATAAATAAATAAATAAATAAATAAATAAAAATAGTTACCATATGACCCAGCAATCCATCTTCTGCATTTCAACCAGAAAAACTTGAAATCATTCATTTGCAAAGACTGATTCCCCCCTATGTTCACTGCAGCGTTCTTCCTGTGGCAAAGACATGGAAACAACCCAGGCGTCCTTGGACAGAGGGCAGGATAAAGAAAGGACAGTGCATCCACCTATGGATGCTCTCAGCCATGAGAGAGATGAAATACTGCACTTGCAACAACATGGATGGACCTTGAGAACATCATGCTAAGTGAAATGTGCCAGTCAGAAAAAGCTAAAAACCGCATGATTTCACTCAATGTGGGATGTAAAACCGAAACTGATAGACACAGACAGACAACAGGATGGTGGTGCCAGACGGCAGAGGGTGGGGAGATAGTGACAGGAAAGGGAGGCAAATACATGATGACGGAAGATGACGGGACTGGGGGGGAGGGGCACACCTGCCATATGCAGAGCCTGAATGAGAGAACTGTACGCTTGGAACCTAAATAGCTCTATTAACCAATGTCCCCCCAATAAATTTAATTACATACATAGATAAATAAAGCTGCAATGAACATCTGAGTGCAGATATTTGTTTTGAGTTAGTGTTTTTATTTCCTTTGGAAAAATACCCAGAAGTGGAATTGCTGGGTCAGATGGTAACTCTATTTTTAATTTCCTGAGGAACCTACATACTGGCTTTCACAGTGGCTATTCCCAGTTACATTCCCACCAACAGTGCACACGTGCTTCCTTTCTCCCAGTCTGACAAACACTAGGTCTTTCTTGAGACTTAATTAACATTTACAAAACATTTCACCCCAAAGCTGCAGAATATACATTCTCCTCAAGCACACATGGGTCATTCTCAAAAATAGACCACATGTTAGGACACAAAACAACTCTCTACAAGTTCAAGAAGATTGAAATCATATCAAGCATCTTCTCAGATAATAATGGCATGAAATTAGAAATCAACTACAGTAAAACACTCAAAAACATTCAAACACATGAAGGCTAAATAGCATGTTATTAAACAATGAATGGCTTACCAATGAGATCAAGACAGAAATAAAAAAAAAACTTAATCAGAAATTAATTGAAATGAACACATAACCCAAAATCTCTGGCACACAGTGAAAGCAGTCCTGAGAGGGAAATTCATAGCATTACAGGCATACCTCAAAAAACAAGAAAAATCAATAATAATCCACATAACCTTACAACTTAAAGAATTAGACAGAGACAACAAGAAAATCCCAGAGGAAGTAGAAGGAAGGAAATAGTAAAGATCATATTGGAAATAAATGACATAGAGACTAAAAGAAAACAATACAAAAGATCAATGAAACCAAGAATTGGTTCTTTGAAAAGATAAACAAGATTGATGAACCTTTAGCCAAACTCATCAAGAAGCAAAAAGAGAGGACCCAAATAAATAAAGTCAGAAATGCTAGAGGTGAAGTAACAAATGACACCACAGAAATCCAAAGCATTTAAAAAAGGGGGGGGGGGGCATCTGGGCAAAACGGACAACTTCCTGGAAACATACAATCTTCCAAAATTCACTCAGGAGGAATCAGAAAACCTGAATAGAACAACAACTGATGAAATTGATGCAATAAAAAATAAAAAGAAAAAAACTCCCAGCAAACAAGAGCCCTGATCCAGATGGCTTCACGGGGGGTTTACCAAACAGTCAGAGCATTGAACCTGTCCAGCTCACACTATCCCGCAGAGCCAAGACACTTCATTGTGTTCTGGTGCTGCCCCAGCACACGGCTTTGGGGTTCATCTTGGCAAGGGAGACAGTGTGGGGAGCCACACCCCACAAGAGACACATATCACTTCTGTTCCCGTTTCATTGGCCAGAGCAAGTCACATCGCTGTCACTAACTTTTAGAGAAAGGAGAAGTGTGACCTCCCCTGAGTCTGGGAGGGAGGATAGCTGGACATCTACAGGCCAGCTCCACACTGTCTCTGAGTAAGTGAATCCTCTGTGTTAGGGAGGAATGCATCTACAGCGCTAGAAACAAGGAGCCCCCTTCGCTGACGACCTGCAAGGCAGAGCCAGGGGGTGATCCTCATTCCTTTATTAGCTCTCGGCCTAAAACAAATTGTTCAGTGTGTCACAAAAACCTTAACTTTGCTCTCTCTAAAATGAGAACATCACGCTTCTTTTAAAACATTCTTGTGTTTTAAAATGACACTATACAAATGTAAACCACATGACAGTTCATATTTACGTAACCCCACAACACTTAAAAAATGTGGCCTCACCTCAAGGAAGGGAGGGGGAGCATATGCTTAGAAAAAGTTATAAAGGATGTTGCTGTGGAATCTCATTAACTTGGTGTTTGTCTGACAGCAAAAGAAGCAGCACCTTGTATTTCTGACGATTGGGAATTCTATAATTATTTTCTTA